AAGTTTTGGCGGGAAAATCGCTAACTTGGGAACCAGAAAAGCTAGAAAGCTGAAATTTTGAGGTTATGTTCCCCGTCTCCATAGAACTCAAAGATTCCAAATTCAGCCTCCAGGCGTGCGTGGTTCCCGCGTATGGCCCCGTAAGGACTCCTGGCGCGAAAATCGCTAGCTTGGGAGTCAGGGAAGCTGGGGAGCTGAAATTTTCAAGGAATGTTCCTGGCATATGTGCAACTTAAAATAACCAAATTCAGCTCCTAATTGTGTGTGGTACTCACGTACGGCCCCGTGAAAATTTTGGGCGCGAAAATGGCTAACTTAGGAACCAGGAAAGCTGGGAGGCTGAAATTCTCATGGAATGTTTACAGCACTTGTACAATTTAAATTTAACAAAATCAGCCTCCAGGCAACCGTGGTTATCACGTGCAGCCCCATGAATTTTTTTGGCGCGAAAATGGCTAACTCAGGAACCAAGAAAGCTGGAAGGCTAAAATTTTCAGGGAATGTTCCCAGCTCAAGTACAATTTAAATTTATCAAATTCAGCCTCTTAGTGCAAGTGGTTTTCATGTACGGCCCCGTGAAAGTTTTTGGTACGGAAATGGATAACTCGGGGACCAGAAAACCCCGAGGGCTGAAATTTTCAGGAAATGTTTCCAACCCACGTACGGCTTAAATTTATCAAACTCAGCTTCGCCTCCCCCCTCAGGCATGCGTGATTGTCACGTATGGCCTCGTGAAAGTTTTTGGCACGGAAATGGATAACTTGGGAACCAGAAGAGCTCGGAGGTTGAAATTTTCAGGAAATGTTCCCAACCCGTGTTCGGCTTAAATTTATCAAACTCAGCTCCCCGGGCATGCGTGGCTGTCACGTACGGCCTCGTGAATATTTTTGGCAGGAAAATTGTTAACTCAAGAAGAAAATTTGGAGAGCTGAAATTAATTTCAACGAAATGCTCCCTGTCCAACAATCGCGTAGACAATTAACTTCCCAGGCTTCGAGGACCAGCATATCACACATTTCTAGCTACCGGGTTTCCGAGCGATCTCATTACGGCGCGAAATATTGCAAAAACACATGATCGCACGGGCCAGCCCGGTGCGCGTCGCCAGTGATTTTACTTTTAGTTCAAGGACGCTATGCAATGAAAGGTCTATGTGAACGTTTGTATAAATTTGTGTGGATAAGTCAAGCATAAAACAGAGAATTGTGGCAAAATTGGATTAGCGCTGACAGCTACGAGGTAACAAACTATGATAATGCACATGTTCGGCAGGGTATTCATTTTTTCTCTAGAAAGATTCAGCAGTTTATAGGCTACAGGCACATCTGGATATACCGCGACGACGCCTCGCCAGCCAAATGACCGAGAGGGGATTTCTGAGTACACACAAAACAGATTTATATTGCTAACCCCGGACTACATCCAGAAATCTAAAGTAAGTTAGACAAATTTAGGACGTTAAAAGAAATTCTTGCTATCAGAAAAGCGTTTTTCAATGGACACCGCTCTAAACAGTCCACTGCAATACAAATGATATGCATAGGATGGAGAGCGGGGATTAGACTGAATAGTTCGATTTGATAATCGAAATTTAAGGTGATGAATGTTTCAGTACAGAATGACTTCGACTGGGAGAGCTAAATTTTGAAATGCCCCACAAAGTAGGGCAGTGAATTTCAAATGATGCGGGCTTGCAGTGCTCGGATTTCTATCTAAAGTTTTTTATTTAAAGCTGAAAAGCATCTTGAAAATGTACATAAACCTGCCGCCTCACAGTACGTGTGCACACAGGACCATTTTCAGGACATATCAATCAACATCGCTGGATTTACCACTTCAATCCAGTCTGTCGGGGAAAGAAATCTTCATCACAAAATGGTCCTTTGTTCGCAATCGAACCTGCACCTAACAATCCACCAGTGCACAAACAACCAACTGAGCTAATTTGCACCCATGAATCGCACACATTTCAATACCACAATTCGTAGTCTACCATCAATTTCTCTTCGAAAAAACCCTTGAAGAAAGTAACCGCCGACAGCACTGCTACTGGTGAAAGATAAGTTCCTTTAATTTCTGTATTTTTAAAAGCTTACGATTTCTGTACTGATGAGCTACGGCCACTTGAAGTGGACAAGAGAAGGAGAGCACGAATTCAACTATGTCAAATTACTAACAAAAGACTGATAAAACTGTAGCATGCGCGTTAGCAAAAATCCTGATTTATCCCGAGTAACGTTAATGTGCTTCAAATTACCTTTGAAAAGAGGACAAATATTGTACAGAGCTTTGACAGGGGCTCGCCCAGTGAGCTGCCCAACTGCAAATTCCATAACAATAATGGGTAATACGCATACAAGTAATGACACGCCATATGCTGCGACAAATGCCACTGAAATTTACACAAATACAAGATGTCAACTTCAGGTGCTTCCTACTGTCCAAAAGACTTGCAAAACATACGCGCAATGCAAGGCTGCCCGCTGAGACGTTCCAACACAACATAATGATTTAACCAACGATGCTTTCCGGTGCTCTTCATAAACGCGAAAATCATCCAAAAAAAATCTCTCAAAAAGTATTAAAATGTTATAGGGATTAACAACGCCCCCTCGGGGAACGAGGAATTCCCATTTATGAAGCTGATGCTTAGGTAGAGCTACGACAGAATACGGTACAGCTGCGAGCACTCAGCTTTACTTAATCATCAGCTTTATGAATAGAAAAGCCACTACTGCAGAGAGGCTTGTATAAGACAATCTCCATTCGCATAAGCTCAGATTTTTATTCGTTTTTCACAGCTATGCAATGTGAAAAACGTATATT